ATCCTTTCCAAATCGTTTTCCATTATTCAATTTGGTATTGTACCTTTTTTATGCAAGTGAAATTGTGATTTTTGAACTATGCAGCTCTGTGAATCAAAGTATCCGCTAAAAACATTCGGGTTTACAAAAAACGGACCAACTTTCTTGGCGCCTTCAAAGATGTTGGTTGAAACCAACATCATATCCGGGAGTGTCTGAAATTGAGATGCGATCTGTTTCAAATTTGGGTAAGAATCCGTACAATGACCTGGGTTTATACATTTATGAATATCATCCAAAATTGTGAGGAAGAGAATGGTATGTTCTCAACAAAAATAAGTGTCATAAATATCGTTAGTTACTGTAATAATTGCTACTAAAAATAAGTTACTTAATTGTTTTATTTTAATAATAATAAGCGCTATCTAAATTGAAGAGTAGGAAGTTCATATTTGTGTATTTTTCACAGCAGGGAATTTGCACTGAGTGAAAATGCTATGCATTCTGTTTCACTTTAAAAATTAAATACATAGTTTTGTGACTTACTGTAGACTTTCGCAGTATATATGTATGTATGTGTGTGTATAAAACTCTTGGTGGTTTAAGAGCAATTTTAAGAAGTAGATAATTTTGTTTTTAAATAGAAGCAAAATATAGAATCATCTAATTTTTCTTACTTGAAACCTTTCGCTTCCTTCATTCCCTTTTATCATATTCCTTTTAGCTGGTAACAACGAAAAATATCTGCAATGAATGCTCGCTAATATTAGAAGTACTTCAGCAAAGTGCCTAATTATAGCAGCAAGCTGCATTTCGTCTCATTACTAACCATGATTCACGATCACAGTCATTAAAATATTCTTTTATATATAACCTATATGCGTAAGTACACATGTAGGCTACATACCTGCCGTGGAATCTGTTTATTTTCATTTAAATTCATTGATTTTTCCTGTCTCAAACGATCTCTTGCCACGAGGTTTCAGTGCCTAGGAACATGACCCAGATATATTTGAGAAATATTTCCTTCGCATGGATTATTTTCAAAACAACACAGGCAATTTTACTCTTAAGATGTAGTCTGACATATGCAATTCGCGCCACAGTTGTTGACTTATTCTGTGCGTTATAATTTCTATTGTTTTCCAGGCCAGTCTCAAAAAATGAGATTGCCTGATCGTAAGCATTACTTTTATACCGAGAGAATCCATAGATATTCCGAATCTTATAGTCTTGTTTTCCTACAAGAAATGACCGTTCCATTCAATTCGTTTGTCAACGCGGAACATCCGCAGCCCCCACGTTCACTGCCAGTGACCTAGAGGTCAAGCCTCAGTTCGTTGACCGAACCGATTCTCTTAACCTTCGGGTTAAAAATGACACGCGAGTGTCTTTCGGTAAGGCAATGCTACTCCATGCTTAATTTAGAATCGCACCCTAGAGACGTTTGCTGAAGTGGGGCAAAGTTCCACATATTCAAGTTGAGCTTACGGGTAGCTCAAGGTCATGTCAAGGCCAAGACGAAATTGGCCCAAGGGAATGCAGGATATAAGACTCTTAAATTTTTCAAGGTTAATTTTTCTCGCGCTTATTTCTGCAGAACTGTAAGTCTCTGAGTGGCCATACTTATATCAGTTACAGGTCACTGATAGGCCAAGGTCACGTCAATGTTACGAAAATATTAGACCAAGGGTTTGTCGAATAGACGTCCTTAAATTTTCCAAATGTATTTCTTCTCTTGCGTATTTGTGCGCTGGATCCGATAACTTCCCTAATGAACTGTTTTTGTGCTCCTGTAAAAAATGCACGGATTGCGGTTCTGGGTTTTTTAAATTCCACTCGGAAGAACAGAGTTTCGGCATCATGGGAGAAACCTGAAATAATTCCAATGCTCATGCAGCCAACTTATGTAGAGGATTATTTTAAACCGATTAAACGAACACCTTAACAGCAAAAGGTCGTTGCCGACTTCGAGGCTAAATTTCGCAAAAACAGAATCATTAATGAGCAAGTCATTTACTTTTGTCAACAAGTCAAAATGGTTTGAACACGAAACAGTCCACAATGAGATTAAACTGGCCATCGCCAAGAAAGTTAGAAGGGACGTGGAAACCTATGAGAACGGGAAAATGTGTCGGAGTGTAACCGGGAAAAACATTCCACCACCTCCCAAGAGAGATATTTGTAGCAAATTTTGGAGCCAGGGCTGGCCATGATTACCTACAGAAGCAACTTCATACAATGGCCCATCTGCGAAGAAGGAATCATGGACGCTCACCGCCTGGCAACGTGTGGGGGCGAAAGGCAACTTAAAACCGGCGTCGGATAAAAACAATTCCTAACCTCGGCACTGAATATAAGTAAGTTGTCAGCCTCACACTCCGGCAGCTTTACCTCGGGTTGAGTAGGGCAGGTAGACGGGTTTGGATGCAGTGACGAAGAGAAAAGTTCATTCCCAATCCAAAGCCAGTGGCTATACCGACAGAGCTGTTTCGGCTAGTCCAGTGGCGTAAATATTGACTGTAATCGTAGGTAGATTTAAGAATATGCCTTCTTTGTGACATCTCTCAACAACTGATATAGGGCACAATTTCACATTATAACAGGCGTGCTAATTGCTTTTCTAAGTAAACAAATTTTTAGCAGTTTTATCCTAAAACGTATATTCGATTAGGTTTGCGAATAGCTAAATATATGATGCGGTCCCTTACATAGGCAGCGACGAACAATTTCATCGTGCAGCTGGGAGAAAGCTCCAGGTGGATTCCAGCGTCACTGTGTAAATGATCCAGAGAAACACTACTTAGACCCATAACAGAAACTCACACTGACATATATGTCTAATATATCTGGAATTTAAGAAATTTATTTAAAAATGTCGATTAATTTGGAAACAAAATAAATTTTACCCCTCTTTTGGGAGTATAAAAGACGTACCAAAATACTGACCAATTACACAAATCACATTTATGAACTGGACGATAGCTAATGTGCCCTCTCCCAAGGCAAAAACAGTTGTAGAATGTTTTGGGTAAAAAGCATTTTCTGCTCTAGAAACTTGCGAAGTGACTTAAAATAATAAGGGAGCTTCGCCCACGCTATTCGTAATTTTCGTTCCGTTCTCTGGACCGGATTTTTGTATTATATTCCCCTCTCACTAAACTGCTTTCTTAACGTGGGAACTAAAACAGAGATATTTCATGTAATCAAATCACTATTAAAGTAATAGAAATCAATAAACTTCTTCCATCGGAAAGACCTACAAATGGATAAGCAGAGTGCAAGCTCCACTGAGACACCTTTCATTTTTACGTAGATAAAATAGAATTATGTCGGTGCAATTTATAATATATAAATGCGTTTTAATACATTATCTATGCTCTTAGGTGTAGAAAATATTCCTTACTTTTTTACAATCATTGCAGTTGAGTAAGTCAGAGAGCTCATTCGATGACACCCTTTTACACAAATCATGGTCTTTCAGGTACACTGAATATGTATGTTTGAATGCGTAATGACCCGAAGTCAGTCCGAAAAGTTGAGACAGAAGAGCTCGTTCGGGCGTATGAGAAATACGAGTTCTGTGCCGTCAATAGACGAGTAAATATTTCATCGTTCTGCAGACGCCGAACAGTCTGCGAGATAAATTACTCAGAGACATTGATCTGAGGTCTCCTCGGACTCAACTGCCGGCAGGTGGGAGAGCAGTTTCAGCGAATAAGAAGAAGCTGTCGACCGACTTGTGGATGCTGTGTTATAATACGCGCTCGTGCGCGCATTCAGAGCTCGAATCGTCTCCAATAATTTTGTTCTGACTAAGGACTGAACGACCGTGGCACTAAGACTATCAGCAAGAAAGGGCGAGTGAAATGTACGAATTGTGTGATTTTTTATTGATCCTTGGTGATTGTGGACCACAGCATGCGAAATCTCCGGAATTAAACTCTCCGTACAGGAACATAAATAAAAAATCAAATCTAAAACTTCTTGACGATGGTGAAGAGTCAATTGAATAAAAATTTCCTTGGATATTATCCATCGTCTAGTAAATATAAAACGTAAAAAACGACGTTTCGGAGATGGGACTCTATCTCCGTCTTCAGGTTCCTACACAGTTGGGCCCACTAGATAGAGCTAATCCCTATCTCCGTCGAATAAAAATTTCCTTGGATATTATCCATCGTCTAGTAAATATAAAACGTAAAAAACGACGTTTCGGAGATGGGACTCTATCTCCGTCTTCAGGTTCCTACACAGTTGGTCCGGAGATAGGGATTAGCTCTATCTAGCGTAGGAACCTGAAGACGGAGATAGAGTCCCATCTCCGAAACGTCGTTTTACGTTTTATATTTACTAGGCGATGGATAATATCCAAAAAAAATTTTATTCAATAAATAAAAAATGTTTACAGGGATTCTGCCGATTTACACGGAAGACTTGACAGCAAAGTTTCATGCTACTGTGACGACCAATGACGTGTGGTCGCTAGTATTCCACGACGTTTCGGTTGAATGCCGGTGAATGCATGGTGGACACTTCGGTTATCCAGTAATCGAGAAAAAGCGAGTGTCCAACACCACATATTGTCCGTGGCTACTCCACTTCTCGCAAAACACGAAACAGGACACTAATTATTTTTGATATGAAGTTGTTCCGAAAATATTTCATGAATGGTGTTTTTTTTAAAAAATGGTAACATAGTAACATGCTGTTTTTCAGGTTAGCGTCTTAATGTAGTTCTAATTCGGTGTACATGCAACCCTTATTTAACCAACGTCACTGCTCAGATTTATTTTGGTTGTTGAGCTAACACTCATCGCAAACATCGTTTGACTAATTTGTATGGTAGAATTACTCTCGTGCACTGAAATTGGCTCAAACCCGCGAGTGTGTGGTTATATAGTACTTGTTGTCAAGGCGTCTCAGCGTGGTACCCGAACACTGGCGAACATAGCCGAAGCTCGCCGTCGCAGAAGCAGTGCGCATTCTCCTTCCGCTAGTTGGCGGGAGTTGTTGCTTGGTCCCGCTAAGCGTGTCATTGCCGCCCTATCTAACTTTGGGACGAGATCTGTCTTCGTGGTCAGTTTGGAACTAGTTTCTCGCGCGGCGTATCGTAAAGGAAAGAATAAAAGTTTGTTTAAATTAAGTGTGCTAAGTGTCTAGTGCTTGTGTTGGTACTTAATGTGTTTAGAAGCTGAAGAAATTCTCAAAGAGTTGTTTATTATAATTACATTAAAACAGTGATAGGAGCTGCAGGTTTTTGCCAAAGTTTTTGTTCGGCGTTGGCGGGATGGGCGGCCAAGTGTTGGCCCAATGACCGCCCATATTACTGCCCCCCATGAAGAAGCTAACCAGTTGCAGCTTCTTTCTCGGACTTGGCCTATTGGCCTTCGCGGTTTGCCGGACTCTGGCCAGCGAATTCCCAGAACGGGAATGTTGCGATCCGGTGTACCCTCTGCCTGCACCTCCTGCGTCGACAACACCCTATCCTTCTGCCGCCACTCCAACGGGACGATCAGGTAAGAAAATTGCTCAGTTACGAGGTTAAAGTGACGCTGAGATATATTTTGTTACTTTTAAATTTCTTCACGAAACTAGAGACGTTCTGTTTGACCGTACACGAAATGCAGCAAACAGGTTACGAACTCTTTGTTCTTATAATAGCAGGTTGACGATGTCATGACTCGGGTGACCTTCGCGCGCTCGGCCTTGCGTCCGCGTACCGAAAGCTTCAGAGGCGCCCAGTGTTAGACGTACTTGATGGAAGTTTTGGAAGTTAATTGGGCAGCGTTGGCGGGGTTTTGTGTAATAACAACAAAATAAAAGTCATCACCTTTCGTTAAATATTATTATACTCATCGACTTAAAAGATACAGTGGTTTCCGGTTAATTGGGACACATCGGGACTAGAAGCGGCTGCCCCATTTAACCGGAATCTACTGCATTAAATAAGCCGGGCGTGTAGCATGCATGGGAGACAAGACAGATGTATGCAAGATTACTGCTTTCTGGGTTGTAGTACCGTGTAGTCCAGTAGAGGTTTACCAACGTTTCGGAGGTTTCTGCTGCCTCCATCATCAGGGCGATGTGTCATTACTCATCACCTTTATTGCCGTTAAAACCTCAAATCCTACGGAAGTTTAAGGAAAGAAGAAACTTGGAAGACCTGGTCATGAATGGGGGGGTGGTGGTGGTATGAAAGCGTATCGATTGAGGGGTGTGAACTAGATTTATCTAGTTTTAGATAGGGAAGAGTGAATGTTGATGAAACTTGGAGTTCGACATGAGAACGAAAGTTTCTTGACTTCCCGAGGCGCTGACTAATTAGCTTCCTGATAAAGGCATTGCTCCACGGAGCTATAATGACACGCTCCGTACTTCCTCAGTTTAGTCAGCAGTTCGCTTGCGTTCGTCGTGAGATTTTAAGTAAAAATTACCGTAATGCTGAAGTGAAAAGAATAATTTACCGCTTTAAACTTTCGACGCAGTGGCTGTGCGATCGTCCAGGTTTGGTGGTCACTTTTTACGCTGATGTTGTTTTCCTCGCGTGCGGTCCTGGTTCGTTGGGGCGGGAACGAGTTCCCACGGACTCCGGTCAAGATAGACGCGAATGGATTTTTCTTTAGGTCTTAAAATAAAAAAAGAACGTGGCGTGTTCTTATGTTCGTACTATTCTTAAATGTCGTGTTATTGAATGAACAGCCGAGATATTTTTCGATGATGTGCCAAATATATCTTCACCCTATAACTAATTAATCTGCATTAACACTTTCAATTCTAAAGTAGTTTGTATCTGTAATAACTAATTTTCTGGAGCAGAGTACTTCCTCAAAGCTGATAGTTTTTTATTCAACCAAGAATGTTCCTGTGTTTTATGTAATCTGAGATTTATTACAGTCTTTAAAAGAGTACGCCACTGGTCTCTATCCTGACTCCAGAGCACACCCTTCCAAGATCCATTTGAATGTTATCCTCCCATCTACGTCTATGTCTTCCAGTTTCCCGGACCGAAACCTTGTGTTCACTTCTCAGCTTTCGCTAATTTAAATAAGTCTTCGGAGCAGATGTTAAGACATTGCGGTTATTGAAGTAGTTTCCAGCGGTCATTAATAGATGTCACTGCGTGTACAGAAAATAGACCTTAAACATTCTGAATATATTTTGTTCGTCATTGTTACGATAGCCCCGAGACTGATTTCGTATTGAAATCAGAATTTCGCCGTCATTATTTGCAATGTGGAATTCTTAACAATTGTAACGTGATGGAAACAGAAGAACTGTAATGTAAGCTGTTCATTGTTGCTAGTTGAAGATATTTTCATACGGATTTTGAAGGGAACTCAGCGAGAAGTCGGATGCCCGATCACAGTATTTTCGAAGCGATCCGCTCGGTAGTGAAGTTCATAGGTCACGTGTTTTTTCGGAGCCTGTGACAGGCTTGTACTTGAACGTGTAACGTCATTCATAATTTGTCAGTCTGCTCTCTCGCTTCTGCATTACACGGCCACGTAGACGCTCGCGCAAATAATGCATGTGCGTTTAGTGTTCGCATTTGTTTTGCAGAAAATTTTCTGTTCGTTACTGAAGAAATGATCTTTGTCGCATGCGTGAAGTCCGAAACTAGTTAATCCAAAAGCCGTGTATCCTGTTAATTGTTTTTAGGAATAGGTACGTTCATCGACGCGAGTGTAAAATTAAATTGAAATTCTGTATCATTTACAGCAGATTTTATTAATTATTCCGGCGTTTAGCAGCAAAATAATTGGAGACGTAAATATTTGAAAATAATTCGGCGATGGTATTACAATTTCGCTTTATTTATTTTTGGGCGTTGTCAGTTGTCTGTTAATTTTTCGTCAGTTTCCCTCGTAAAAACACGGAAGTCGATCCATCCTTCGAATATTTTTCAGATCTCGATGAACACAGTTGACTGGCGACACTTAGAAACCTCCTCAGTTGGGTCCGGTAGACCGAGTTATTCCCGATCTGACGAATTCTTTTATTTCTTTGTTTTAAAACGAGTTTCGGCGATCGGAATAGCTCAGTCTACCGAATCCAGTAGTGCAGGTGTCTCCCCCCCTTATAAAAAGGACAGTCGTCCATGGCCTTCTGCCCCCAGATTGGTTTCCTCACCCAGAACTCGCGTTTTACGTGCTTACGTGAACAGACGAAAACGAGCACAGAAAATTGGACGTTTTTCCAGAAACAAGTTCTGACGATGTGAGGCGTGTTTGGAAGCAGAGGGTCGTCACTTCGAGCTTCCCGTGGCAGCTACGGGATCCAGTTTAACGATTAGCTGAATTTCTTCCAGAATAAGCAGCTGTTAATTCCTTAAATAACATTAGAAATTTGATTTTTGTAGTGGAGTAATGTTTTCTTTCTTTAAATCTTATTAACACGAACTTCGACTTCAAAGAGTTAAGTCACTGTTTGTGGCGTCTGATTTCCCTAGTACGTATCTAAACTGTTATGACTTAATTCGTATTAAGTTTAAGTTTAAAAACATTCTATTCTAATATTTGCAAGAGTGTGTGTCGAAACGCAGGGCGAAAGCAGTTGATTCGTGCGTCGTGATATTAATTACTGGCGCGAAGTTGTTAATGATTTTGTGAAAACAGCGACTGCTCGGAGAAAGACTGCAGGCCACGTGTGCAGTCGAAATGACCAGGTGTTCGCCGGATGTCGCAAGGTCAGACAAGCAGCTCGCGCTGTTACACGTCGATAGACGAGGATCGCCGGTCTTAGTGCGAATCTCGTGTCATCTGATTGATTTCCAGTTTAATTGAGCCAATTTGGCTCCAATGACTATTGCTGTTCAGCCAAGCTTTCATTGCTTCGCGTGGTGTATAATTTTACTGTCTGATATAATGGAAAGGTTGCAGGAAGATTTGTATTTTGTCATATAAATATTCTGCACATGAAAGTTAATAAAATTATGTTTCTGTTGAGGCGAAAGTTCTTAAGTTACTCGAACGACGTGTTTATTATGTCTTAATGAAGGAAGGAATATTTTAACGAAGTAACGCGTTTTATTTAGAAACATAAAGTCGTTAAAATTGTAACAACATAAAATATTAATCAACGGTTTGGATTAATTTTACTGTAATTTATTCATGTTTAATCGTCATTTTTGTAACCCATTTTGAAAGCAGTCGAGGTGTTTCGGAATCGTCTTATTTCCTTTCTACGCTTAACGTGTGTTAAGACATTCGGCTCATTAAACATTGAAACAGGAAATTCTGCTAGTTTTTAATGTAAGAAAACATGACATTGCAGAAAGACATTAATACGTATGATCGATTAATTATAATTAACATTTTGTTGAGTAACTAGTTACAGATTGTACCATCCTTTAATTACGAGTCGTATATCGTGAGTTTTGTTAAGTACCAGAGCATCAATCAGCGTTTACGAAGTCTGATTAGATCGCGTTAGCTCTTGTGTCCGGATCCCCTGTTTTCAGCTGCACTTGTATCGCGTCTCAAGGTCTCCTCCCCGCCCCCTCGGCCTCATCGTGGGAAATTGCAGGTGTCCGGAGTCGCTTTCTGTTACTCGTTTGTCAACTAATTTATACGCCTTTTATGAAACGCACAATGCCCAGTCTGTGTGTACAGCCCCCCAGTAACATTGCGACACCCCTGAAGACTCTACGGATTTTAATTAAATTTGGAACTGGTAGTCTTTAATAAAGTTACTCGGACCTGATTCTGGTCCGCGTTGGTCCACCGCAATCTACAGGCCACGTTTCAGACGCTGGAGCGTAGCTTCTGTTATCACAGAAGGCTTGGCGTGTGTGTGTGTGTGGAGATACAATTCATCGTCACTTTACCTGAAACACTGATGACAGTTACAGTTAAAGACCGAGCAATGTGCAGAAATTTCGATAAATAATTCCGGAACTCTGAACGCCAGGCAGCTCTACAGCTATCTAGTGCTTCAAAGCGTCGCGATGCGTATTTCGCCAGTCCAGGTAAATCCGGGAATGGGGAACGGCTATAACGGTATACTGCCTTTTTATTATTCAGGAGAATTTTCAAAGAACATTTAGCGGTGGAGTTTTAAATGGCCACTCGGTAAATTGATATTATTAAAAAAACAAGGAAAACACAGCTCATACGTTTGAAAGAATTTGGAGGGCGGAGAAAATGGTGGGTTGAACATGTAGAATGACTTTCCGTTCTTATGATATTCGTAATGCGCAGTTAAATAACATCACTCGTCTCTGGAATGCGACGATGCACTGGATTAATTCGTCGTTGCCGAAATTGAAATTGAAGGGAATTGACACAGCTGATCTGTCAAAATTAGATGAATTCTATTCTGATGACCTTAAAGTTCTGCAGTTTGCTTTCAACGGGAAGGAATCACAAAACAAATAGCAACACTTTCGTATGTTAACTTCATATTCTCTTCCTCAGTTCAATGCGATTTACAATGTACAGAGTGAAACGAAATTTGCGCAAAAGCTCTCCGTAGCGTTATTCCTTGATAAAGTGAAAGCCGAGAGAATATTATACAA